GGTTGAAGGTTGCCCATGCCTGGGTTATACTATAGCTCTGCTCTTCTTAGATGTTGTGCTCTGCCAAGTGCCAGCAGTAAATTAAAAGGTATACCAGTCCACCTAGAGAGCCTTAGTATACTGCAAGAAGGTAAATAGTTTCCTGCATTGGAAAGTGTGTGCTCAATTACAAAAGCAGTGTCTTTGAGAGGCAGCGTTTTAAAGGAACTCTCTGATTTTCCACCTTCCATTGCCATTTTTGTGCTATTAGCTGCACTAACCCCTGGTTTATAGACCAGCACAGCAGGGTTGGAAGAAGGCTTTTTAGTTCCTAGATTATATATTCTGAGCAGGACAAAAGTAGTAAGACTATTTCTGCCAAAACAGAATTTTATTTAAATGCCATCATTGGACTTATTATGACTTACATTGAATTTTGAGCTTTTACAAGAGCTGTTTTAACTTTCATGATGTAAGATGCAGAGAATGTTTTTTTGTGGGAAAATCACAAATGTGTATTCAAACATAAAGGTGTGGCACATAGGAGAAATGACATTATTATTGTACTCTGAGACACTAAAGAGTTAAAAAGGCAGTCCAAAACTCAAAGGAGGGGCTTTCGAAATATGCGAGAGTAATGCAATGCTTTCAAAGTAAAGAAACAATGGGCTTGTCAGATGTCTGGAATTGTCCATAAAATGAACAAGTGGACAACACAGGAATCTGAGAACAAAAGAGTAGTGTGCCATGGTTATCCCTTGTGTTGTCCATGTGTGTGTAAAATAAAACACGTGCATAAAGCCCTTATTTAAATTTACAACTCAGGCTGGCACAGAGCGAGCCACGTGAGTGGCTGGGAAGGTAAAAAGAGGAGGAGGAAGAAGAGTCATTGTGCAGCACTGTAATCCTCCCCACGAGGCCCCCTTGCCTGATCGATATCAAGCCCATGTCCTGCCCAGGAACCATTTTAGGTCATTGGAGCATACATGCACCCACAGGGGCAGGCAAAAAACCACCTCCCCACTACCAAAATTAAAACTACCAAAAATGAGAATACTCTTGAGTGGAAATGCTTATCTTTGTCTCTTCTGCCCCACCTCTTCAGCACACCTCAGGGGCCAGGGTTGGGGAGGGGAGGAAAAGGGGATTTGGGTGCAGAAGGAATAGTGGTGAGGGAGTATTAGAGGAAAGGAAAAGAAAGGGGGAGGAGAGAGAGACTAAGGCCCCTTCTACACAGCGGAATAAAATCACACATTTTCTGCTTTGAACTGGAATATATGGCAGTGTGGAATCAGATAACCCAGCTCAAGGCAGATATTGTGGGATTTTCTGCTTTGATATTCTGGGTTATATGGTTGTGTGGAAGGGCCCTAAATCAAGAGGTGATATAAGGAGTCCTCATGGCCAGAAGGTACAGGAAGGAGGACTGTTTGTTTTTTTTTGGGGGGGGGGGGGGGCAAGGGAAGATGGTAAAAAAGCCAGAGAAAAGAAAGGGATGATATAGGGGCTACCAAAGAAAGTAAAAAGAACAGAGAAAGGAGAGGATATGGGGAACATTTAGTCCAAAAGGTAAAGGAAAGAAGGGGTGATGTGAGAGGTCACCAAGGACAGAGGGCAAAAGGAGAGAGAGAAAGGGGGGGGGAGATAGAGGGTCACTAAGGCCAGGAGTTAAGAGGCAGAGAAAAGAGGGGAATATTTGGGGGGGGGGGGAGTGTACCAAGATCACAAGGTCTTACTATTATTATGGCTATATGTAGGCCCAAAGCAGCTCACAACACCTAAAAATGGCAAAACAGAACCAAAAACTGTACAAACAAAAAGGTTAAAAGAGTAGGCAGAGAACAGACAGTGGGCTGTGGAGGGATACTGGGGCCTGAAGGCAAAAAGGGGCACAGAAAAGGGAATGGTATTGCTTTGGGGGTGATGTGTGTGTGTATGAGGGCCCTTCCAGGTAGGCCCTATTATGCCAGGGTTTGATTCCAGGTTTTCTGTTTATCCCAGATTATCTGGCAATGCGGATTTATATAATCCAGTTTAAAGCAGAAAACCTGGGATATAGGGCCTGTCAGGAAGGGTCCTAAAGGGGGTGATGAATTGTGTATATGAAGAGGGTGATGTGTATTTAAAAGGTATGATGAATGGTGTATATGAAGGGGGTGATGTGTGTGTATGAGGGCCCTTCTGGGTAGGCCCTATATGCCAGGATCTGATCCTATATTTTCTGTTTGTCCCAGATTATTTGGCAGTGGATACATATAATCCAGTTTAAAGCAGAAAACCTGGGATCAGATCCTGGGATATAGGGCCTGTCTGGAAAGGCCCTGAAGGGGATGATGTGCGGTGTATATGAAGGGGATGGTGTGTTTTTAAAGCGGATGTTGAACGGTGTATATGAAGGGGGTGATGTGTGTGTATGAGGGCCCTTCCGGGCAGGCCCTATATGCAAAGATCTGATCCTATATTGTCTGTTTATCCCAGATTATATGGCAGTGGAGACTCATATAACCACCCTGAGTCACCTGAGGGCTGAGAAGGGCGGTATACAAATATAGTAAATAAATAATAATCCAGTTTAAAGCAGAAAACCTGGGATCAGATCCTGGGTTGTAGGGCCTATCTGGAAGGGCCCTGAAGGGAGGTGATATGTATTTAAAGGGGATGCTGAATGGTGTGTATGAGGGCCCTTCCAGGCTGGCCCTATATGCCAGGATCTGATCCCATGTTTTCAGTTTATCTCAGATTATCTGGCAGTATGAACTCATATAATCCAATTTAAATCAGAAATCCTGGGATCAGACCCTGGGATACTGGGCCTGTCTGTAAGGGACCTGAAGGGAGTGATGTATGGTGAATATGAAGGGGATGATGTGTATTTAAAGGGGATGTTGAATGGTGTATATGAAGGGGGTGATGTGCGTGTATGAGAGCCCTTCCAGACAGGCTCTATATGCCAGGATCTGATCCTATATTTTCTGCTTATCCCAGATTATCTAGTAGTGGAGACTCATAACTGCGCTGAGTCACCTAAGGACTGAGAAGGGCAGTATACAAATATAGTAAATAAATAATAATCCAGTTTAAAGCAGAAAACCTGGGATGAGATCCTGGGATATATGGCCTATCTGGAAAGGCCCTGAAGGGGGTGATGTGTGGTGTATATGAAGGGGATGATGTGTATTTAGAGAGGGTGTTGAACGATGTATATGAAGGGGATGATGTGTATGAGGGCCCTTCCAGACAGGCCCTGTATACCAGGATCTGATCCCAGGTTTTTTGCTTTAAACTGGATTATTTATTTACTAGATTTGTATAGCGCCCTTCTCAGCCCTTAGGTGACTCAAGGCGGTTATATGAGCCTCCACTACCAGATAATCTGGGATAAACAGACAATATAGGATCAGATCTTGGCATATAGGGGCTGTCCAGAAAGGCCCTCATACACACACATCACCCCCTTCATATACACGAGGGGTCCTCAAACTAAGGCCCGGGGGCCGGATACGGCCCTCCAAGGTCATTTACCCGGCCCTCGCTCAGGATCAACCTGTCTGAAACGACTTGAAAGCACACAACAACGACAACAATCCTATCTCATCAGCCAAAAGCAGGCCCACACTTCCCATTGAACTACTAATACGTTTATATTTATTAAAATTGTTCTTAATTTTCATTATTGTATTGTTATTAAGTGTTTTTTGCACTACAAATAAGATATGTGCAGTGTGCATAGGAATTCATGTTTTTCTCAAATTATAATCCAGCCCTCCAACAGTTTGAGGGACTGTGACCTGGCCCTCTGTTTAAAAAGTTTGAGGACCTCCGATATACACCATTCAACACCCCCTTTGAATACACATCACACCCTTTATATACACCACCCATCACCCCCTTCAGGGCCATTCCAGACAGGCCCTACATCCCAGGATCTGATCCCAGGTTTTCTGCTTTAAACTGGCTTATTATTTATTTACTATTTATGTACTAGATTTGTATACCACCTTTCTCAGCCCTTGGGCAACTCAGGGCGGTTATAGGAGTCTCCACTGCCAGATAATCTGGGATAAACAGAAAATATAGGACCAGATCCTGGGATATAGGGCCTGCTTGGAAGGGCCCTCATACACACACATCACCCCCTTCAGGGTCCTTCCAGACAGGCCCTATATCCTAGGATCTTTTCACAGATTTTCTGCTTTAAACTGTCTTATTATTTATTTACTATTTAAACTGTCTTATTATTTATTTACTATTTATGTACTAGATTTGTATACCACCTTTCTCAGCCCTTGGGCGACTCAGGGCGGTTATAGGAGTCTCCACTGCCAGATAATCTGGGACAAACAGAAAATATAGGATCAGATCCTGCCTGGAAAGGCCCTCATACACACACATATACCCCTGAAGTTGGGGTGATGTGTGTGCATGGGTTTCCCAAGGCCAGCAGGGAAAGGGGAGAAGAAAGAAAGGGGGTGATAGGGTGTACCAAGGCCAGAAGACGGGGATACCACACACATCACCCCTTTCATATACCCCTGAAGTTGGGGTGATGTGTGTGCACGGGTTTCCCAAGGCCAGCAGGGAAAGGGGAGAAGAAAGAAAGGGGGTGATCGGGTGTACCAAGGCCAGAAGAGGGGGAATGAGGGCCAAGAAGATCAGGGAGAAAGAGAGAAAAGAAAGGGAAGGGGAAAGAGGGTAAAGGAGGCAGAGAAAAAGAACTGAATGGTCATGGGGGGGGGGGGGTATTAAGGCCTGAGAAGAGAAGCATGAGAAAGGAAGGCCTCCACTCCTCCCTCCCCTTCAACATGAGGAGAGAGAGAGAGAGAGAGGAGGCGGGAAACAGGCCCTGAAGCCCCCATGGCAAGTAAGGCGGCAAGCAAGCAACCAAGCAAGGGGCCTCTCCTCCTCCTCCTGGCCTAGACTGTGCTGAGGAGGATCCAGCGTTGCCGCTGCCTCCTCGTGCGTCCCTTCTTCAGCCCTTGTGGGGGAGGGACCGTCCCCAACCGGGCTTTTTATATAGCTACCTCAGCTCGAGTGTGCCGTGTGCATCTCCCTCTCCGCTCGGTACCAAACCGCCGCCGCCGCCGTGGCCGCCGCCTCCTCCCACTCCGCAGTGCTGCTGCTGCTGCTGCGGGAAGCTGGCTGGGCTCCTACTCCAGGCTGCTGCTGCTGCTGCTACTCTGCCTGCCGCGGCCTCCTCCTCCTCATTCACCAAAGCGGCTTACGCAGAGCGCCCGCCGCCTTCGCCTCTTTCCCCAAGCGGAGTTTACGGGCGCCACGCGCCGCCCGCCCGCCCGCCTCCCCCTTTGCGGCAACCAGGGAGTCAGTAGCGTAGAGAGAGAGAGATTGAGAGGGGTGTGTGCGCCTAATGGAGGTGATCGCGCCCTAACGCAAACGGCGTAGCGATGGTCGCTGCGGCGCCACGCATGCGCACTGCCGCTCTGCTGCCAAAGGAAGTGGGGTCTTAGCTTTCTCTTTTGGTGTGCAAATGAAGACCTCCCTCCCTGGGGAGGGGGAAGGGGGACAAGGTGAAAAGTTGAAGGGCTGGAGCAGGGAAACACCAGCAGGAGAAGGGCCAGGGCCCTCCCACACAGCCCTGTATCCAAGAATATCAAGGCCGGAAATCCCACATTATCTGCTTTGAACTGTGTTATCTGAGTCCACACTACCATATATCCCAGTTCAAAGCAGATAATGTAGGATTTTATTCAGCTATGTGGAAGGGGCCATATGATCCTTCTACACAGCTCTAGATCCCAGCATATCAAGGCCGGAAATCCCACATTATCTGCTTTGAACTGGGTTATCTAAGCCCACACTCAGAGAATGTGAGATTGGCTGCCTTGATCATCTAGTGTAGATGCACCACCAGACCAAGGCAGAGACATCTCCAGCTCATCCCCTGTTTGTCAACGACTTAAATCAAGACATAGTTTTCTTAGATCTACAGAGACACTCGCGGGAACACCTCAGCAAGCGAGAGTCCAAAAGTGGCAGGCCCAAACCCAGCACCTCAATCCATGGGTGATACCAGGTGAGAGCCTCCCCCCTGGGCACACAGAAGACTGGGCGACTTGGAAGGCGCTGAACAGACTGCGCTCTGGCACCACGAGATGCAGAGCCAACCTTCAGAAATGGGGCTACAAAGTGGAATCCTCGACATGCGAGTGCGGAGAAGAGCAAACCACTGACCACCTGCTGCAATGCAGCCTGAGCCCTGCCACATGCATGATGGAGGACCTTCTTGCAGCAACACCAGAGGCACTCCAAGTGGCCAGCTACTGGTCAAAGGACATTTAACCAACTACCAAGTGTGTTTTTTTTTAATCTCTGTGTTTGTTTTGTTCTGTTAGAACTGTAATACAATGGTATGGTTGCTGATGACACGATAAATAAATAAACCACCAGACCAAGGGCTGTGTGGAAGGGCCCTTGTTCTGCTGGTGCATCTACACTAGGTGATTGGTGCAGCTTGACACCACTTGGGCCCCTTCCACACAGCTGTATAAAATCCACATTGAACTGGATTACATGGGAGTGTAGACTCAGATAATAATCTTCTATATAAATAAAAATGTAATGTTCGTTTGTGGGATTAACATAACTAAAAAAACCACAGGATGAATTGCTGCCAAATTTGGCCACAAGACACCTAATCCAAGGAGTGACCATCAATCAAAAGAAAATTGATTTTGTCATTTGGGATTTGTAGTTGCTGGGATTTATAGTTCACCTACAATCAAAGAGTATTTTGAACTCCACCAACGATGGAATTGAACCAAATGTGGCACACAGGACTCCCATAAACAACAGAAAACACTAGAAGGGTTTGGTGGGCATGGACTTTGAGCTTGGGAGTTGTAGTTCACCTACATCCAGAGAGCACTGTGGACTCAAACAATGATGGATCTGGACCAAACTTGGCACGAATATTCCATGTGCCCAAATACAGAGGCGGCCCTAGGTAATTTTCAACAGTAAGCAAACAGTATTTTGGTCCCGTCCCCCCCCCGGAACCAATCACTGATATATATTTTCTGTTCGTTGTAAGAGTTCTGTGTGCCATATTTGGTTCAATTCCATCATTGGTGGAGTTCAGAATGCTCTTTGATTGTAGGTGAACTATACATACCAGTAACTACAACTCGCATATGTCAAGATGTGTTTTCCCCCAAGAGCGCCCCTGGGCAAAATCAACTATACTGCAAATGCTTACTTTGCGTAATGGGTTGAGCCGCCCCTGCCCAAATATAAACACAGATGGAGTTTGGGGGAAATAGACCTTGACATTTGGGATTTGTAGTTACTGGGATTTATAGTTCACCTACAACCAAAGAGCATTCTGAAACCCCACAAACGACAGAATCGGGGCAAACTTTCCACACAGAACCCCTATGCATGACAGAAAATACTTAAGGCCATCCAGTCCAATTCCCTTCGCCAGGGCAAGAAAACGCAATTAAAGCCCTCCTGACAAAGAGCCATCCAGCCGTAGATATAGATAATATATATGATTCACACACACACACACACACACACACAGATATAGTATCATATTGAAAGGGACCCCTAAAGAAGGACAATTATATGTTGCATGTAGGCAAACCAGACAATCTTTACATCAGCACTGACAAAGAAACAACAAGAAATACTGTTTACTCACAAGCATAAAGAAATTACATATATTAGAAACCAATACTTTCTCGTTACTTTATTTTCCAGATCATCAGACTGAGCCATAACAACGCATGGCAGGGGACGGCTAGTCTATATAAATAAAAATGTAATGTTTGTTTGTGGGATTAACATAATTCAAAAACCACTAGACCAGGGGTCCTCAAACTTTTTAAACAGAGGGCTAGGTCACAGTCCCTCAAACTGTTAGAGGGCCGGATTATAATTTGAAGAAGAAAAAAAAGAATTCCTATGCATGCTGCACATATCTTATTTGTAGTGTTAAAAAACACTTAAAATAATACAATAATTAAAATGAGGAACAATGTTAACAAGTATAAACTTATTAGTATAATCCACATTATCTGCTTTAAACTGGATTATATGAGTCTACACTGCCATATAATCTAGTTCAAAGCAGATAATCTGGATTTTATATGAAATTGTAGAAGAGGCATGAGCAACCTGAAATTCTATGCTAAGTCTCTGATCTACACAAAATTAAGAGAAATACAAGATATTTGATGAACTTCCTGTGATCATTTAGTATCCTTCACAATCTAACAGGCTTGAGAGATGGATTGTTGTAGGTTTTTTCAGGCTATATGGCCATGTTCCAGAGGCATTTCTCCTGACGTTTCGCCTGCATCTATGGCAAGCATCCTCAGAGGTAGTGAGGTCTGTTGGAACTAGGAAAAAGGGTTTATATATCTGTGGAATGACCAGGGTGAGACAAAGGACTCTTGTCTGCTGGAGCGAGGTGTGAATGTTTCAACTGACCACCTTGATGTGCCTGGAGCAATCTTTTGTTGAGAGGTGATTAGATATCCTTGTTTGTTTCCTCTCTGTTGTTGTGCTGTTCTAATTTTAGAGTTTTTTTAATACTGGTAGCCAGATTTTGTTCATTTTCATGGTTTCCTCCTTTCTGTTGAAATTGTCCACATGCTTGTGGATTTCAGTGGCTTCTCTGTGTAGTCTGACATGGTGGTTGTGAGAGTGGTCCAGCATTTCTGTGTTCTCAAATAATATGCTGTGTCCAGGTTGGTTCATCAGGTGCTCTGCTATGGCTGACTTCTCTGGTTGAAGAAGTCTGCAGTGCCTTTCATGTTCCTTGATTCGTGTTTGGGCAATGCTGCGTTTGGTGGTCCCTATATAGACTTGTCCACAGCTGCATGATACATGGTAAACTCCAGCAGAAGTGAGAGGATCCCTCTTGTCCTTTGCTGAACGAAGCATTTGTTGGATTTTCTTGATGGGTCTGTAGATAGTTTGTATGTTTGTATGTAGATAGGCTTGCAAGATGTTTGACTACACTTCCATCATCCCCAGCTGGCAGGGTTGTGAGAGATGGAGAAGAGAGCTACAGTCCAATACATTGGGTAGGATGCTGTCTATGGGAAGCATGGAAGATGTTGCCAGCCATCCCTTCCCTCACTAAACTCTCTTTTATAGTTCCTTCCTAAGTTATACTTATTTCAGGCTATTTGCAAAATCAACACACAGACATTATATGTCAAAAAACCTGAACAGATAACATCTTAAAACGTTTCATTTACATTATTCATGGGTTGTATTCCTAAGAAATTGCTTAAGGCAGTGTACTGTATTATTTATGTAATACAGACAAAACCCATTTTTATTTGAAATGAGGTATACCAAAGAACATCAAGTTAATCAGAAGTACTGGGAGAATAAAAGAAATGCAAAGCTCAAAAGATGTCTCACTTCCATAAGAATTATTAAGACATTTAGGGGCTTTTACTCCCTGTGTGGGTGAAAAAGCGAAAGAAGTCCATGTGTACAGATTGTTTACAAATTCAAACATCGGGTTGTAGTAGGTTTTTTCAGGCTATATGGCCATGTTCTAGAGGCATTCTCTCCTGATGTTTCGCCTGCATCTATGGCAAGCATCCTCAGAGGTTGTGAAGACACTTGCCATAGATGCAGGCAAAACGTCAGGAGAGAATGCCTCTAGAACATGGCCATATAGCCCGAAAAAACCTACAACAACCCAGTGATTCCGGCCATGAAAGCCTTTGACAATAAATTAAAACATCGTTTCACACTGGCCATATTTATGCGTTTAGTTTCTGAAAATTAACCATATACAAATGGAGAGCAGTTTCTTATTGATCATGAATATGTCACAACTTTGTTCTGTGTTTATAGAACAACTTTCACATGTGCAAAGCAAAACACAGTTCTATAGATCGAAAAGGACTTAAAGAAGATATTTAGAGTTGCAGCATCCTATTCTAACGAACAGGATATTCCAAATTCCAAATGTGTTCATATTTTATATCATTCTTCAGATTAAGAGCAGGGTTTTCTAGCACAACCTGCTCTTAATCTGAGCAGAAAAAGGTGATTTAATTTTAATGTCCGTGGAGATCACTGGATTGAACGAACATCGGGGTAATTGAACATGGTGCAGTGGTTGGAACATTGGGCTAAGAGCTAACGACAAAGGCTAAGCCATGGAAACCCATTGGGTGGCTTTAGATGAATCGCATCCTCTCAGTCCCAGAAGATCCTGTGATTGGTTCATTTTAGGGTCACTATAAATCAGAAACAGCACCAAAGTCCCTATATCTTGCTTATACAGTAGAGTCTCACTTATCCGACCTTCGATTATCCGGCATTTTGCCTTATCCGATGCTCTTATCTGATGCCCCCCTTTTCCTCCAGCATTTCTGCTACAATTAAAGGAGCACTCCCCAACTCTCTCTCCATTCCCAATA